GAATACAAAAGAGCACTGGAGTGGAAGTTTCTTTTCAATCTCGCTCTCCAAGTTTTCGAGAGTGCAATCTAATGCTTTGGACATCATTTCAAGAGGTACATCATAAGTTAGGTAGTCATCCTTTACATTCATGAGGAGGGAGATGTGGAGTTCTGCTTTATGAAATCCAATGACGGATCCCTGAACTTTTACTACTGGCGGCTCACATTCCTGGAACAGAGAAGAATACTTTAAAATAATAGACTCAATGAGCATTATTTAATTTAAGAATTGCTTGTAATTTTTGAAAGCAGTATATTATATAATGGAATAATAGTATATTAATATAAAGAATGTCTTTTTATTGTTGGAATACATTAAACAGGGATAAAATAAAGACAAAAAGTGCCAGTGATGTGACAATTTAGCTACATTTAACCCCCAGACCCCCTCTTTAAAATGATAGGAATGAAAATAACTTAGCTGGAAGACTTAAATATTATAGGCGCGTTTGCTATAATAATATGGTTTTACTGTAAATAAATACCATTTTGTATTATTTGATTTATAACATAAATGCCTTTGAAACAAGTTTATGAATTAAAATTGGGAGTACAATCTTACTTCAAGAACACTCTTAGAAGTCGTTGAAACAGAGATCTCTTCATTGAAGTTGGTCACAACAACATTGGTTATTGACAAGTATTTCCCAACAATGGATGAGTCACTCAAGTCCCTCCACAGGGAAACTTTAATACTGTCAGTGTCGTCTTTGAGAGAGACACTCTTTACACAGACATCTACTCCCTTCACCTTCACGGTTTTGGTCATATCCTCCTTCAATGAGAAAAATCAGATTAAAGATATAAGAATATGGTAATTTAAAAAGCACGGTAGTTGACAATATAATAAAACAATTTGTTTAATTAAGGATGTGTATCCAATATTTCACAGTTATTCTGCATAGGAATTAAGCTAAAATGACTGACTATATGTTAAAATCTGTAAGAGTAGTACATATGAAATTTGACTTATTTAAGTTAATACGGGTACTTACAGACACAATTCTGCCCTTGACAGAGACCAGGGACTTCACAGGTAATGTCTTGATGTCCTTAATGGGTCGAGTCATAGCAGGTGGTGGATTTGCAATCCTCGCACCTTTCTCCATAGTTGCATGTGGAACCTCCATGGCTCCTGTTTTCATGACTTTTGTGTTTTTGGTAATAATGACTGTTGGTTCATTTTCATTCTTGTAGATGTAATTCATCAGAATCACGGTGTTGTCTGCATTCAGGGATTTGAGTTTCGTGGTGTCATATACAGTGCCCTTCATGGCATCTGTTGAATCAGCTAGTCCAACTGTGGCACATTCCTTTTTTTCTCCATTGTCTGTTTGATACCTTTGAATAGTACCAACTCCACACACTTTCACCTTAAGGGGTTGCGAGTACGGTTTGTTTCCCTTGCTCTCTCTCAGTTTAGCAACTGTTAGCATCTGTAATAAAAGAAAAACAAGAGGCCCAAGGGCCTTGAATCGCTCTTCTGATAAATTGTACAACCTATCACTTGTATTTCAAGCCTCTAACCAAAAGTATCCTATTAAAGACCCAAGTTGCATCACCTGACAAAGTTTGATGATTCTTAGCCAATTAGAACTACTTTTTGGTCTACAATCTTGGAAATCACAAAATGCATCAAGTGACAAAGTTTGATAATTCTAAGCCAATAAATACCTGAGCTATTTAAAAGTAGGTCACTGTGATCTCAGAAAAACCAGGATGCATCAACTGACAAAGCATGATGATTCTTAACTAATAAGTACCAGAGATACTTAAATATAGCCATAAAATGTCGAAAGTAGGTCATTGTGACCTACATTTTGGTTGACATTTTTAGAGTCCCATGACGCATCTGCTGACCAAGTTTGATAATTCTAAGCCAATAAATACCTGAGATATTCAAAAGTAGGTCACCATGACCTACTTTTAGGTCGACATTCTCCGAAAATCCAAGATGCATCAACTGACAAAGTATGATGATTCTAAATCGATAAGTACTAGAGATACATAAATATAGCCATCAAATGTCAAAAAGTAGGTCACCGTGACCTACTTTTTTGGTCATCACTCTCCGAAAAGCAAATATGCATGGACTCATAAAGTTTGATGATTCTAAGCCAATAAGTAACGGAGAATACTTAAATATAGACATAAAATGTCGAAAGTAGGTCATTGTGACCTACATTTTGGTTGACATTTTACAGAGTCCCAAGATGCCTCTGCTGACCAAGTTTGATAATTCTAAGCCAATAAATACCTGAGATATTCAAAAGTAGGTCACCATGACCTACTTTTTGGTCGACATTTCCCGAAAACCCAAGATACATCAACTGACAAAGTTTGATGATTCTAAGCCAATAAGTACTGGAGATACTTAAATATAGCCATAAAATGTCAAAAGTAGGTCACTGTGACCTAATTTTTGGTCGTCACTATACGAAAACCCAAGATGCATCAACCCACAAAGTTTGATGATTCTAAGCCAATAAATACCTAAGATACTTAAATATAACCATAAAATGTCGAAAGTAGGTCACCGTGACCTACATTTTGGTCGACATTTTTCAGAGTCCCAAGATGCATCTCCTGACCAAGTTTGATGATCATAGGTTTGAAGGTAATCAAAATATGCCTTTTAAACAATTTGAAAACAAATGCCTGCAAAATTCTAAAAGTAGGTCATAGTGACCTACTTTTTCTTAAATATGTTTTAAGGTCCCATGATGCAGCAACTTACAAGATTTGATGATTCTAACCCTTTCAGTGCCTGAAATAATGGGATTAAATGTTTTGAAAAGGATAAGTCATAAAGTTCAAAAAGTAGGTCAGGGTGACCTACTTTTAAGTTTATGTTGTTTAAGGGCCCAAGATGCATCAACTGACTAAGTTTGATGATCGTAGGCCTTAAAATATTCAAAATATGCCTTTAAATCAATTTGAAAACGAATGCCCGCAAAATTTAAAAAGTAGGTCACCGTGACCTACTTTTGAGTTAACATGATGTGAAGTCCTAAGATGCATCAACTTACAAGATTTGATGATCCTAGTCCTTATAGTAAGCAAAATATGAACATTTTTATTAATTGTAAATTTAGGTCAACTTTAAAGTGATCTTGAGACCACGCCCTTTGCCCCAGGGTCATGCCTTGAACAATTTTTAATCTTCAACATATCCTGATCCTTGTATGCAAGTTTGGTGAAAATCTGCCTGGTGGTTCTGGTGAAGAAGATTTTTTAGCAACCAGTACTTTTTGTTTTGTTTTGCTGATTATCTCCCCTTGATTCAGGGTCCCAACCCTTATTTTAGTATAAACGGTAGCCCTTGGGCCAAGGATACCCTGTGACAAATTTGACACTGATTGGCCAAGGGGTTCTTGAGTTATGGCCCATATTCTAAAAAGTTAACACACACCGCACACCGCACACCGCACAAATGGCCATAGCATTAGCTCTTTGAGCCTTTGGCTCAGAAGAGCTAAAAACATGATTTGTTTTTTATGTTACAGGAAATTATCATCTTAATATTATTTCTTTATTTTTAAATTAAAATTTCAAATATTCAATTAATTAAGAAAAATAAGTACCCTAAATAATGCTATCAAATCTCTTTAAATTTGGATGGGTGTGAAATAGTAGCAAGAAAAGTGAATTATTAGGTATATCATACTGTCAGTATGATGTTGAAGGTGAAATACACAATAATACATTTGTATTGCTACATTATTTATGTTTATTCATTCTAATTAGGGTCAGTCGAGTATCCCTCTTTTTAAGGACCAGGATTAGTATTTAATAACTGAGTGAACTTATGTCAGTGCAATATACAGGGGCTTATGATCTGAAAAGTAAGCCTCAAGTGTCACCCAACTTTGAATTTGAGTTTCAGGAATGTTTGTGTATATGTGATCAAGTGCAGATTCATAGTCAGTAGTGGAACCTGTAGGTAGGTATCTTAAATTGAAGTGGGACATGAATTCAATGATGTTTCCTGCTTGTGATGAAAGATTGTCAGCATTGAAGTCTCCAGTCAATACAACATGGTTGGAATCTTTCAAACAGTCTTGAAACATATTTTGAAGCATGTTTTTGACAGTTTTCAGATTGGCCTTTGGTGGGATATACAAGAACATAAATAACAATAACTTTCCGCTGCGAATTTCAATAAGCAAGGAAAAGATTTGAATATTCTGTTCTCCCTTTTGGTGATTTTTTGAACAGTTAATGATTCCTTCACATAAAAAGCAAGACCATATGATGGTCGTTGGTTGCTATGTTGTGGAGAATCAAACCTATACATTGTATATCCTGGCAAAGAAAGTGTGTCAGCATCATCAGTTTCGATAAGTCTTGTTTCAGAAATTGCTAATACGTCAGAACTCATAAGGTTGAAATCCTTCTCCAAATCATCCTTGTGCTTATGAAGCGATCTTATGTTGAATGATGTTAAAACTGTAGAATGAGGGTCCTTTCTACCCAAATTATTAATACACATTTCCATCTTTCCCTCACATCTAAGCCTGTTCATCTCTTCTAACACAGCTGGTGACAGTGAAATCTTTTTTTCATTCAAATTTGTGATGTGTAGGTTCTCAATATGTGTAACCCTACTGAGTCCCACATAATGCATATGGTCATTTTTTCTTGTTCCAAAATTTATAACTGCAGACTTCATAGTTGAGCCTTGTGCTTTGTGAATAGTTTTGGCAGCCCCTAACCTTAGAGGAAACTGTCTTCGTTTAACATGATATGTACCATTCATCTGAATTTGAAATTGCCTCGTTATTTCTAATATCGGTGTCCAAGTTTTCTCAATTTCACTTTTGAATAGTCTTGCATATTCCTTGCGCAACTCCTTCCCAATGTTTTCATCATCAAATTGCACCCAAACGATGCTACACCTTGTTGATCCTTGCACGCGATAATCAAAGAGTTTAACTGTACATGATGCACCATTTGTGATTCCATCTTGAACATTAACATTATTGGTTATTTCAGCTGGAACTCCAATAACCAAACACAATACAGATGATAACCCCAGTGTTCTGGCAGAATCATCAGGAACTCTTGCTAACACTTTGGATTTTACAGCTTCTTCAGATGCTCCAATAACCCAGTCTATAGCATTTATACTGATTTTCTGCAAATCATCTGCCATGTCATATATTTTGTTATTGTATGACTGTACTTCATTTCTTGTGGTAAACAAATGGGGTATATTTTGTGTATCTGCAGTCTCAGACTTCACACATTGATATAGTACGGTAATGTCTTGTTAGGTCTTTCCACCTTTCTGTGGAAAGACCTATTGATTTCCTTCTGTTTCTTTTTTTCCTTTTTATTTTTTATTATTTTTCCGCCGTGTGATTTTGAGTTTCAAGATTTATCGAAAAGATTTTAAGTTCATAAGAATGTACTCCGTAAAAGATTTTCGCAGTTGACCCTGCGTATATGAACTATGACCCCTTTCGGAGTTATTACCCCTTTCGCAAACAAGCTTGTTATCGCTACTCCTCTGAAACCGTAAACCGTAGAGAAATGAAACCTGCACCAATGTCTTCGACTATTTAAGGGGACTTTTCAATCTATTCATTGTGAAAGTATTTGGTGACCCCTTCAATGAGTTATTGCCCCTGAAACTTTTGGAATTTTACTTTTAATTAAAATTTTTAAAAACGACAAGTTGTAGAGACATGGGACCAACTGCATAAGATTTATTGACAACTGACCTTCAAATTCATGTAAAGGTCAAAGGTCAAGGTCATTCCAAAACTGAGAAATTAAACTCTTTTTATATCTCCTTTGTCTTTTAACATATACTTAATGTCTATGCATCATTGATATGTACTCTTAAAACTATTTCAAAGATTTTATTCTTGTCCCCTAAAAATAATCCCTTGAAAAGTTATTGCCCCTTGTGCGAAAAACCTTGTTATCGCTACTCCTCTGAAACCGTGAACCGTAGAGGTATGAAACTTTCACCAATGTCTTCGACTATTTAAGGGGCTTTTTCAATCTATTCATTGTGAAAGTATTTGGTGACCCCTTCAATGAGTTATTGCCCCTGAAACTTTTTGAATTTTACTTTTAATTAAAAATTTTCAAAACGACAAGTCATAGAGACATGGGACCAACTGCATGAGATTCATTGACCTTTGACCTTAAATTTCATGTAAAGGTCAAAGGTCAAGGTCATTCCAAAACTGTGAAATTTAGCTCTTTTTATATCTCTTTTGTCTTTCAACATATACTTAATGTCTATATATCATTTATATGTAATCTTAATACTGTTTAAAAGATTTTGTTCTTGTCCCCTAACATTAACCCTTTTAAAAGTTATTGCCCCTTGTGCGAAAAACCTTGTTATCGCTACTCCTCCGAAACCGTAGACAGTAGAGACACCAAACCTTCTCTAATGTCTTAAGTGTCTTTAGGCCTA